AGCTTGTTCTAAGTAGGTGCTTTAGACCACTGAGCCATCTCTCCAGCCCCTAGAATTCATTTAGACTACAGTAATGCCATGGAAATAATTAGATGAAAAGGATGTTCTGTTTCCTAATCCCAGCGTTCTGGTTCTTTTCCCCGAAGAAGGACAGGCTGGTTCTCGTAAAGATCTGATTTTCAGTTACTTAAGCTTTTTCATGGCTAACAGCCTTTGTTTGTGTTATTATTAGACTTATACTGTTTCTGACATCACCTTACTATAAAATAATACAATACTATAATGTAATGTAGTATACTATGAAGAATATGGGCTTGGAAGTGACAATGGCTGGGTTCCAAATGCCTGCCTTAACATTTATGGCTGTTTCTCGGTTTTGTCACCTGTAAAAGAGCAAGAACTGCCGTGCTTTGTCTCTCTGGTTCCTAGGGTTTCAGCAAGAGTTAGATGAGGTACCATATAAGTGTGTGGAGTTAGCTACAATTCCCAACAAAGCACAGGTGAAGGACCACCGTCACCAGGTGGGGAAGATGCTGTTTATCTCAAACTCGTGGCGAAAGCCCCGTCGCACTCACCTGGAGAAGGTAGAACAGCTGCTGGTACGTTTCTAGTGTTTTCCTCCTCTCCTTGCTCAAGCTTTTGATTCCCTGGTTGTCAATGTTATTCAGTATTTCCATTTCTCCTCCTTTTTTCTTATTCAGCTTTTTTCTGTGTGAGATTACATCCTATAAAGAATTTTATGACATTACTCATTTTAACACTAAAGTTCTTAATCTCCCTTTATACATCTCCTGAGACACACAGTCGAAATGATGAATTTCCCACATTTCCTACATCAGGAGACACAGGGACAGAGGATGGTGAGCTAAGGAAATATACCCTACAGGTGAAATCTGGCTTTTGTAACGTTTGTTCTCCAAAACTTCTCATTTGCTCTTAGGATTTAATGTAGCACTAAGAAAATCGCATGAAAAAGAACAGTCCTTTAACAAAGGACACTGGGACAATTAAGCGTCTACATTCAAAAGAAAGGAGTTAGACCCTACCTCAAAAGATAAACAAAATAATCAAAGAGAGATAATAAAAAAGAGATTAAAAGCTAAATGGGAGCTAAAACTATAAAACTCTTAAAAGAAAAACTAAGCAAAGTTTTTGTGACTTTGGATTAGGCAATCATTTCTTTGGCTATCAAAAGTACAAGTAAAAAAAGAATACACTGGACTTCATAAAAATTTTAAAAAATTGCGATTCAAAAGGCACTGTCAAAATAAAATGACAGCTCACAGAATGGAAGAAAATATTTACAAATTCCATGTTGGGTGTGACTTGGATCTGGGATAAATAACCCTTACAACTCAAAATTAAGAAGACAAATAACAAGAAAAATGGGCAAAGGATTTAAATTGACATCTGCCCAAAAGGATATACAAGTGGCTAACAAGTACCTGAAGAGACAGTCAACATTATTGGTCATCAGGGGAATGTAAATCAGAAGTACAATGAGACACCCTCAAATAATAATTAGAATGGTTACAACCAAAAAGATAGTAAGCATTGGCAAGAAATAAAATCCAAAAAATATCGGTAAGGATTTGGACAGATTCTCACCTTTGGTGGTAAGAATATAAATGGTATAGACACTCAGAAGAAACTTGGGAGTTGCTCAAGGTCAACACAGTTACCATATGATGGGACAATTCCACTTTTAAGGATATACTCAAGAACGGAAAACAGGTTCATACACAACCTGTGCGCAAGCACAGGAAATATGTCAGAAGCAGCAATATTCATAATAAGTAAAAAGTGAAGCAGCCCAGATTCCATCAGTGAATGGACAACAAAAAATGTGGGATAGCCATACAAGCAAATATTGTTCACCAATAAAAAGTAATGAAGTATTGATTCTATAACAAGCATGACTATAGCTCTAATATAGATGACTTCAAAAATAGTATGCTAAGTGAAAAAAAAAACCAACCACAATATACTATGTATGTGTGATTGCATTTATATGAAATGTCTAGTATACGTCAGTCTATAGAGACAGACAGTAGATTAGTGGTTGTCGAGCCTGGTAGTAAAGGGAGCATGTATAGTTATTGTTCATGCATATAGGAGGTCTTTTTTGTTTGAAGAAAAACATAATAATTCACCTACTGTACTGTGAAATTCACTCTTGAAGGTAGTCTATTCAGCAGTGCTTAGTCTAGTCACAATGCTGTACAACTATCACTTTTATCTAATTCCAGAACATTTATTTTCTTTGGAGTTTCTGGCATGAAAATATTCACCAATTACATAGAGATGATGGTCAGAAAAATCTGATGAGTATTTTAAACACAACTGAGTTATGCAGTCTAAAAGTGGCAATTACATCACAATTTATAAAAGCACTTTCAAAAACATGTAATGTAGAAATTAAATATGGCAGCAAAAGGATTCTTCTAAGCATTTAACAAAATTTAAGTTCTCTCCCTGCATCCTGCTTCTTTAGCCATTTACAGAGAATCCTGGAAGATGTGGCTGAAAACCCCATCAAAACATGGTCACTTCAAGAACATATAGGGGGACCGGGGA